TTCTACACTGTTTTAGAAGAATTATATAAAATCATACGAAGTCGAAAACTAAATCCGTAAATTCTGAGAGTTCAAAAAATGTGTCTAGTTATTCATATTTTTAATTATGATTTTTAGAAGTCTTTAACTTATGTAAAATATTCATATTCACAGACTGGTCCGAATTTGTTTCTGAAATGATAGGCAGTTTTGTAAAAATCACCATAAATCGTAGAAAAATCGTATGGTAATGTGCAAGTAGTCATTTTAAAGGTATGAACCTGAAAATTTGCACCTAGTACAGTTTTGAAAACTAAAATGTTTAAGTTGACCAAAAAAGTCCGTGAATGGAGTTGAACTTTTCTGATGAAGACTGTTAAATGAGTTTAGTTGTGTTCTTAGTGTTTTTACTTGTATTCCCCCCCCCCTTAAAACTTAAGAACAATATGAAAAGATAGGGGTATGAACTCACTTTGTGTGATATCAGTGGATGGAGGTTGAAGGAGAGAAGTGTTCAACTCAAGAACACTTGAAGGATTGCTTGAAGATTCGAGAATCTAACAACCCTATTGATGGAGTTTGTGTAAGGATCAATGATTTGAGTAAAAGAAATGTAATAACCATAAGGAGGGTGATGATACTTACCAAATGAAGGAGAAAAGCTGGAAAATGCCTTGGAAATCTCGAATTTGTGAGAGAGAGTTTGAGAGAAAAGGTGTGTTTGATCTTTTGTGAAAAGTGTGAAAATGAGAGAAGTGTGAGGAGAGAGGGGGTTTTCCAACCCTTGACCAATAGTGTGCCTGGTCAAATGGTGGGGAAAGTACTCTTGAATGACCAGGTATGATGTAAGGACAATAGCTGGTCATGGAGTGGGCATGGGGTGGTTGCTTGTGTCATAAACTAAAGAGAAGTCAACACTCCACCTCAATTATTCACCCACTAGATTTTATTCTTAAATAAAGATTTCCATAAAAATATATTTAAATTATGAATATTTAGGGTCTTATTGTTAAAATATTATTTTTGGAGAAATCCCCGCGTTTAAAAAAAATAAAAACGGGCTTAAAACGCAAAACTAGTCGAAAACCGGGTGAAAAACGCAAAATCCGAAGTCAGGAGGTGATTCCGGTCTTGGTCGCTGAAGTGGAGCTCAGTCGCGGATGCAGAAGGAAGGCGCTGCGGTCCGAAGTTAAGAGGTTGCGGTCCGAAGTCAGGAGAACCGGAGGCGAACATCGGATGCGGGCTCCATGCCGCTGCGGTCGGCGGCTGCTGGTTGCGGCTTGCTGGCTACCGCTTGCTGGCTGCGGCTTGCTGGCTACGGCTGCGGCTAGATGGCCGGGGCTCCTCAAGGAGACTCCGGTTCAAGGAGGGTTTGATCCCTATAGAAGGGCTCCGGCCCTAAGAGGCTATTTTCCAAGGTATCTTCCCGTTTCGCATGGTTTTTCACCAAGTCAAGTGTCGGGACGCCCCAATTGATTACGAAAAAAAACCAAAAGAGGTTTTGAGAGAGATTTGGGAGAGATTTGACGTTCTTGGAGAGATTTCTTATACAGAGAGAGATTTGGGAGAGATTTGACGCTCTTGGAGAGATTTCTCATACAGAGAGAGATTTTGGAGAGATTTCACATTCTTGGAGAGATTTGGGAGAGATTTGACGTTCTTGGAGAGATTTCTTATACAGAGAGATCTGGGAGAGATTTGACGCTCTTGGAGAGATTTCTCATACAGAGAGAGATTTGGGAGAGATTTGACGTTCTTGGAGAGATTTCTCATACAGAGAGAGATTTTGGAGAGATTTCACATTCTTGGAGAGATTTGGGAGAGATTTGACATTCTTGGAGAGATTTCTCATACTTAGAGAGTTTCGGGAGAGTTAGAGTGAAAGAGATTGGGAGAGACTTCTTTTGTGACCTTTTTGAGTGTTTGGCTTTGTAACGCAAGGTTTGTAAACCTCGTTAAGTCTTGTTATGATTGTTATATGCCCCCGAGGGTTAAGGAATAATGTTTTATTGAGTAGTTTCATCACTTGCCCTGATTAGGGTTTAGAGTTTCCGAACACGTGAAAATTCCAAGTGATACTTCGTATTAAGATTGCGAGTTGTTCGATAAGAAACATAATGGAAACCCCAATATACAAGGGTTAGATGAGTGGACCGGTTTGACTTGTTGACTTTAGTTGACTTTGACTTGGCCAAAATTGACGGTTGTCACAAAATCGACGAACTAAAAAATTACTCAATTCCAGGCGTAACCTAAAAACACAGAAACAGATGAAATAAATTAAAGATTGGGATCGATAGGTCTAGTATGAAATAAAAACTTCAGAATTGGATCGGATAAAAAAATGGAACCTGAAATTGATTGTTACTTAGATGCAGAAATCATCGAAAATACTAAACCCTCCCGAACTTGAAGTACAACAGAACGATTGTTTTTTTACCTGGGATTGTTTTCTTACGAAAAAGAAAAAATGAAAAATGAAATAGAATGAAAATCCTTGATGTACGGGTTCTTGGCACCAGTCGGTAGAAATGGATTTTTTTCACCAAAAAGAAAAAAAATGGCAAATCCTTGTTGAAAGCTGAAAAAAAAGAAAAAGAAAAAATGAAAAATGAAAAATGATTCCATTCCATCTTTGTGTCCAGCAATTCAAATGATATCAACTCTGGCACATAAGTATAAAGATCCAATCCACTATAATTGAACACTTTAAATCTTTATACCAATTCACTTGATAAATAACTTCTTAAAATGTACATGGTTTTGACAAATACAATTACAATCTGTCCAAAAGAGCCATAAAATAGAATCAGACTCCGATTTTGACTTTTAACTAAAAGTCTATCCAGTTTCTTTAACCCAGAAGTGAACCTCATTCTTTGATCTTTGAACAACTATTAGCTTTAAATGTAGGGAATATCAAATAGAAAGAACTGACCCTTCACTTATTGTATCAGTTGTTGAAGCAAATTGAGGGGTATAAAGGGAAGTTTTCCAAGAACAACCTAACACATGAGAACAAACTCATACATTTAATACCAAACAATCAAAGGGAAATCGATGTAAGTTGTTCTATATGTACATGTTTAGAGCTGGATGAGATTATATTTTTTTCCATCATCATAAAATAAACCCGTTAATCCATTGTTTGTGCATCTTAGAGGTGGATGTTGGTTGTTTCTCTTTTGACAGCTGTGTTCCTTGTTTCTCCTTTGACAGCTGTACATATCGCCATGTCTGAAGAGATTCTGACGAACAATATTCTTAATATAACAGGTATTTGCAATAAATCTATTAAAAACATTTGCAATAAAACTATTAAAAATCTTGATAAATACCTGCAATTCCTTACAGAGAAATCTCATCCACAGCAAGGAACTGTAGCCCTGTGTAATCCCTTTGGGGATATAACGGGGGTGTTCTCGAATAGCAAAACTCACTGAAAAGCAAAATAAATATAAATCAAATGACATCTGAAGTGCGTTACTTAAAAATTAGTGGTTAGCAGATTTAGGGGGAGTTAGTTATCCTTGTAGGTATGTCGGTCAATTTCTATTTCATAGAAAATTTATTAAATATAAGCGAATAAATGAAGCCACCTTAGAATGAAATCGATTTTAAAATCGTCGGCATCAGACCACCTTTTGATGAAATCGACATCAAAACACCTTCGATAATCCGTTGTAAGTCGGGGTCAAATGGTTTTGGCCGGGGCTGCTGAGCCGCTTTGCTTGTCGCAGTCATGGCGACAAAACCAAAATCGGAACCGGATCGACGATCATCTTCATCGTCGCTCTAATCCCATCTTGACTGATAATTTGTCTTCATTTGCGCTGATTTCACCGTTCGTCGTACCTGGAAATAGGAACATGTAGAAGTGAACCGAGGAAAAAATTTGTTACCGTGAAAGCAAAATACTTACTTCTGGTATACAGATTCGCAAATAGCGTTGGATGTGGAACCTGATGGTGGACATTGAAGCACATGGAGAAGCCGAGATGATGACGGTGGGAGAAGGAAAGACAGAGAGAGAGAGAGCCGATACTGGATGTAGAAGAAACTGGATGTAGAAGGTCCTGGAATGTAGAAAGAGGCGATGGAATGTGGATCGGTGGGAATGTGGGATTAAAGTAACCCAAATATACTAAGTAAAATAACCAACATAAGTATGGGGACCAAAATTGACAAAAAAAGGGGCAAGTTTACTGTTACTTTTCTTGGCAACTTTAATATATATATATATAATAATATGAATGTATAATATATATATATATATATATATATATATATATATATATATATATATATATATATATATATATATATATATAATATATATATATCAAGGTTGTCAAGATCGGGATCCTACGTAGGATCATTTTTGGGTTTGCAAGATCGGGATCGGGATCATAAGATCCCACAAAATAAAACATAATTTTAATTTATAATTTTTAAACATTAAAATATTTCAACATTTTAATTTTTCGTTCAAAAGTTATAAAACTTCAAAAATAGTCATATGTCCCAATACAAAATTATAAATAGTAAATAGGTAAAGGGTAAAAGACATAAAGTGGTAAAAATAATTTTTATTTGCAAAAAAAAAGGTAGGATCGGATCAGATCCCAGTCCTACGATCTTACGATCCTATCTGCGATCCTACCCCAAATACGATCATTTTACGATCCAGATCGTTTTTCATACCTAGGATCGTACGATCCTACGATCAGGATCGCGATTTTGACAACCATGATATATACTATACAACCTTGAGTCATAGTGTTATAAATTTTAGGGGCTGATGCAGGAGAAAATAAAACTTATAGAGTAAGAAATCTAGGGTTAGGGGTGGTGTTGTCAAGAGACCAAAGTTTAAAGGGTCATTTATGCTGAAATTGAAACTTTGGTGCCTTTGTCTCCTGCTTCGTGACATCAGGGAGTGCACAAGGGGTGAGACCTCTTCTCGTTTTTCTTGTCATTGCATCGTGCCCTCCTCTTAATCGAACCCTAGCTTTTTATTAATGTGGGAGCCGCCAAGAGTGAGCGGAGGAAGCTGGGTTTTATTTCTTGAAGCATCACTGCCGCTGGAGCTACCATCGTCGGAGCTTCTAGTAGTCGGATTCTACCACCATTCACCGTCGCTGCTGTCGTCGGAGTTAGGGAAGAAGAGGTGAGAGATTTGTGTTAACTGAAACCTGATTAGTATAAGGTTTTACTCCTTTAGCTCGTTCTTCCTTTTGTTCTTCAAACAAGCACACATCACTCTTCTGTGTTCCTTTGTTGGTTTGACTGTTAATCTATCCTCAGAGTAGGAATACCAAGAATAGCATCTCCTTCCTTCTTCTTTTCTTTTGATCCTTAACCCATGGTGGTTATGAGGCAGTGTTAGGTGAAAGTAACGGAGGTAGTGATGGTGAAGGGCGGTTTTGCAGCAGGTGGAGGTGGGATGTGATGTTAAGTGATCGGAGGTGAGTTCTGGTGGGTGCTCGACAGTTGAAGGCTCTTCGCTGTGAAAGGGCTGCAACAGAGGATGTTAAAGGGTGCTTGGAGATGGCGTAGTGGGGTTGTAGGTGGTGGTTCTTGAGGATGAAAACAATGGTGATGTTTGTATGGTTTACAACGATGAGGTTAGGGCCTGTGTTCGTGGCCGATTTCTTCTGCCGGCGGGAGGCAGTTATGAACCGCCGAAGATTGGGATTTAGCCGGAGAAGAAGAGGCTCCGGCAGATTGTACGTGGTGGAGGGTTAAGGTATCAACCTTGACCTCTTGACTTTCATTCAATATTTCTTCATGGGCTAAATATTATTTTGGGCCTGATTTATTTGGCTAGTTTGCTCTCATGGGTTTTATTTGACGATATAGAATTTAAAATGGTTAATTAAATGGCGTGCGGGCTTGCAGCTATCTCTACCCAATTATTATATATATATTAAAGTTGTGGAGAAAAAGAAAAGTAAACCTGAAATATTTTTGCCACTTTTGGTCTCTTAAATTACATTTTCGGTCCCTTCATTTTTGTTTGTGTGTCACTTTGTTTAAAGGACAACACTTTTATGAAACGGTAATTCTACAACTTTTTTTTTACTCTTTTGCCTCAATTGTTTTACATGTTGCCATTTTTTCCCTAAGTTATTGTTTTTTACTTCTTTCGCTCAATTCTCTCGCTCCGCTTTTGCTTTAAACGATTCCCATTTTTTTATCGTCAATTCTTTAATTAATGAGTTTTTTTTAATGTGTAATTGGTTTATTTTACATAAATGGTCCTTAGGTTTTGTTGAATTTGACGACAAAATATGGTTTATCCATGGTGACAAATTCAGTCCCTACTACCTGAAAATACCAAATTACCCTCACATTAACGGACAAAAAGCAACCAACATGTTACTTTGCTTTACAAAGCAATACCTTCCGACCCCGACAACGCCGTAGAATCTTTTCTAGTTATGAATTAAATTTATGGAAAATGTTCAATTCATTGAATTGGTGATATCCCTCCTAGATTAAAGAAAGAAACGCTAATTGTGGGATTATATAATTAAATGATCACTTAGTAATGCGGTCTACAGTTAAGATTAGCAGATCATAACTATCATTTTACTAGTATATAGATATGAGTTCTGATATGAGGTTTCACCTCTGTGCGGTGTTAGGTGGTTCGAGCTAGCTGTTTATATTTATGAGAATGTGAGTGTAACACCAAAAAATTCAAACCAATTTAAACTTTTAAAAACATTTCAAACCATTAAAAATCATTACAACTTTATTTTCAAAATGTATAATATCAGAGTTTTCTCAGAAACATAGACAAAACATGAGGAGTTGTACGATCACGTCTTCGCCTTGTCGCGATCCCCTGATGTACCTGAAACAATAAACTGAAACTGTAAGCCCGAGAGCTTAGTGAGTTCCCCCCAAAATACCGATACACATACAGTCCACATAAACATATCATAACAAACTGAACAACATGTAATGGGTCCCCAGCTTTACAGACTGGATTACCCCTGAGCCCACAGTACGAGTCTCCCTTTAGCCCGTAACTGGAATGCTCCCGAGCTCACAGTACGAGTCTCCCTTTAGCCCGTAACTGGAATGCTCCTAAGGTCTGTTGGCTACTACACGGAGCAGTATAACCTCAACCCATACGCATAACATATAACATACCACATAACCACTGAGCATGCAATAATCATATAACATCACAGGTAATCCTACAGGTCTACCTAACTGGCATAACCACTAGCATGCAACACTAACTCATACTCAACATCTAACACTGCTAGGATAACATATCCAATGGGCCGACCTTGGTGCCTTAGACCCCTTAGTATAGTGAGGATAACTCACCTCGCAACTGTCGTCGGAAACTAGAAAGCTCAACTCCCGGATCACCAACACGAACTCCACCACCTATAGTTACCATAAAACCCTTTTTCATAAATCTCCAAATTACCAGAATACCCTCAGAAGTCAACTGGTCAACTCTTGGTCAAAGTCAAAGTCCACAGTCAAAGTCAACAGTCCATGTTGACTCGACTCGTCGAGTGTAGTTCACTGACTCGTCGAGTCCTTCCTGAACTCGAGAAGTCGTGAAATCCTTGATTGGCTCGTCGAGTTCCCTTTTAACTCGCCGAGTTCATACGTGTCCAAGAATTGGGAGAAACCCTGGCCGACTCGCCGAGTCTTCGAACGAATCGCCGAGTTCAAGGCAATCTTCAACGGACTCGCCGAGTTTGTTCATCAACTCGACGAGTTCATGACCATCTTCATATGACTCGCCGAGTTGACTATGCAACTCGCCGAGTCCTTACAGACCTTCATCCATGCAGACACTTTTTAAGTCATGCCAAGGTTTCAAATTACAGATCCAAGCTTCTAAGGCATGTTTATCACGTAAAGTTGCAACCTTTACACACATGCAAGGCCCTAAAGGCTTTAAATGACCAATCGAAGCTTCTAATGGAGCTTTACACCTTGGGAGAGTCTCATCCTTGCAAGAGCTGGAAGCTTTATGGACTTAGGACTTAAAAGAGGTTTAGATCTGAAGTTTCAACTTCAGATCTAGCTCTCATACCAAAATCCCTTCATGAATAACTAAAGAAAGCCCTAGTTTTCACATATGAATGATTATAGAAGAAAAGAGGTCAAGGTAACAGTTAGTTACCTCCAAAACGTGCCCAAACTGAAGTAGACTCTGGATCCACACAGAAATCTTGATGCTAGCCTCTTGATCTACAAATTTCCTTCACAAAAGTCACTTCCCAAAGCTCCAAAACACTCTCCAAGCTCTCACTCACGGAAATTAGGGTTTCTGGGTCTCAAGAGGGTGATAGAGGACAGTGAGAGGCGCTAATGGTCCAATATATAGGGTGCAAAACCCTGAAAATTAGGGTTTCCACTGCCAGCTCCTACTCGTCGAGTCCCCCATGCCGACTCGACGAGTCACTCATTAATTGACGTGTCCTGACCCGCTGCTATTCGACGAGTCATAGCGCCAACTCGTCGAGTAGACCTTAAACATGAAGTCTAAATGGAAAAATTAATAATACCTGACGGTTGGGATGTTACAGTGAGACGGCATATGTCAGCTTTAGGTGAATTTTCTCACTATATCCATGGGTCGAAGGCACCAATGTCGGCCCATTACTTGTTATGTGGAATATTAGTTGTCTCTGTGATGCTTGCATGAAAGACCAGGATCAGCCCCTGACAATTGTACGAAAGAACAGGATCTGGCCCCTAGTAGTTGTATGAAAGACTAGGATCTGGCCCTTGACACTTGTATGTAAGACCGGGATTTGGCCATCGGCATTGCGAGGAAATACCATAGGAGTAGCCCATGACACTTGTATGTTTTAGTATGTGGTATTTTGGAAAACTCACTAAGCTTTGTGCTTACAGTTTCATATTTATGGTTTCAGGTACTTTCGGTTCGAAAGGGAAGGGCCCAACTTGCCTGCACAACATCCCCAAAGTTTTCCGCATTGACAATTAATGATATTACTCTGATGTTTAGATAATATATTCACTTTGATCGGTTTTGGAACAACTCGTTATATGTTTATTGTTTTAAAAATGAAAATTTTAATCTTCGATTTTCGGGACGTTACATTTAGTGTATGTGAGTATGTATGTAACTGTATGTGTGAGTAAGTATATGACTATTTGTGTGTATTTCATGATAAAATCCCATAAATAGCAACATATTTTGTTTGTTTGTAATAAATAGCAATCCATTTCGAACATGGTCTGGAAAATTAAAATAAAAATATTTTTTATAGCATCCTACTTTCTGTAAAATGTCATTTATAGCATTCTACTTTACCTTTTCTGTATTTCTTTTAAAAGGGACACGTTCTACATATTTTTAAACAATGACCATTTTTTAAAATATGGATCATTTATGAATTTGTTTTTAAAGGAATAATTTTTGTATTTGTTAGTATTCATGTTGTTTACTGTATGTGTATGTAGGTGATTGTATATATAAGTAAATATATGTGTGTGCTGTTGTGTGTGTGAATTCAATGATATCCTTCAAATGATTGGTTACAAATTCTATGGGATATGAGTTATAATATTTTAAATATTGATAAAGCATTTGGATGTTATATTATGGAAAGTAAGGAATTGATTTTCATAAGCAAATAACACACGTCTGGCTGTGGAGTAGCCAAATGGCCCAAATGAACGAAAATGAAAAATCAGTTGTAGCACCGCTATAGCGGTGATGCATATCGCGGTAAATAGCAGTCAATAACGTTGGTAATAGTGTTACCGTTGTTCGTAAACACTATTTAGAAGTACCGGTTCTGTACCTCCAATAAATGTTATAGCACCGCTATAGCGCGCTATTGATAGCATAGTGTACGAATGAGTTCCCATAAAAAAAAACCTGCAAACCCAACCCAAAATAGGAAGGAATAAAACCAAAAAATATCCAACCACAAAACCAAATTTTCTTCTGACTTGTAAAATTTCAAAATTGTACATCACTTAAAAAGCACGATGTATATACAGCCAAACAAAAACATGCTGAGATTATGATATATAGGATATAGCTAGTAACTAGGAATTGCTGCAAAACGATACCCTTGTGCACCCCTCCATGAATAATATGCAATTCGAGTTTCGTAAAACCCTAAATAAAAAAAAATCATCATCAACATGACTAATAAAAACAAGTGTCACCATTTTTGTATATATATATATATATATATATATATATAAGGGTAAACTTCATAAATTGTCTCTATGCTTTCCAAAAATCTAGAAATATAGTCGCTAAGTTTAAAACCTTCTAGATTTCTTTGGTTTCAAACAACTATTTCAATGTGTGTATGAGAGAGAGAGAGAGAGAGAGAGAGAGAGAGAGAGAGAGAGAGAGAGAGAGAGAGAGAGAGAGAGAGAGAGAGAGAGAGAGAGAGAGAGAGAGACCTTTGTAAATTAAATAATATACTTCTTTTTTTTTCTTTTTTAAAATAAGACAAAATATCATAAATCGTCAAAAGGTTTTTAGAACTCAAAAGGTTTTTTGAACTTAAAAGCACATGGACGATTTATGAAGCTTTCTCTTAAAAAATAATGATCCTTAGATAAAGGCTTTTGTAGTACTTTTGGAGTTATTGTCCATGTTTCAAGTAATAGTGACTATTTTTGGTCCTTGTGTATAGCTACTTTTTGCAATTTTAGTCCTAAAAATAGTCATTTTTCTTAGGAGTGGGACCAAAAACAATACAAAAGGACTAAAACTGCAAATAACAACTATACTCAGGGACAAAAAATGTAATTTACACCTTTTTAAACCGTTTGACCATTTTCTCTCCAAATAGACCGATTTTTACACAATGGACGAAATTGCCCTCTCCTCTAATAACTTATATAGAACAAACTACAAAGTAACATACATACCTGGTAGAAAAGTGAGTGTCCCAAGTCCTAAAAGGCCACACGCTTGGGATTTGTCTCCACCCATGTGGCCTGTGAAGACGAATAATGAAAGGATAAGGAGAATGCATCCAAACAACAGAAGAAAAACCGCAAGTCCAATTGATTTCCATGGGATTTTATCTGAGGATTCTGCTGACATGTCAAACCGAGGGTCAAATGTGTTTTCATTCTGCTGAAATGTCAAACCAATGGTATCTTCATTAACAGCAAGACGCGTGTAATTAACGTTTCTTCTTGACTTCATTTCCACTGAAATATTGGTGATATGAATCATGGTATTAATGATATACATATAAACATATGTGTGTATGTATGTAACTGTGTATGGATATATTGGCTTTGTGTCTCTCTGTCTACACTTATGTCGCAAGTGGAAGGATAATTGGATGAATGTTTGATTTGTGAGTATTGGGATTTGGTGATTTGAAACATCAAATAACAAGGCATCCATAGAAAACTAACAATTTTGAATAAACAAAGCATATTTAAGCTTTGAATAGAAGAAATTACCTAGATTTCGCTTCTTGAATCAGTATGCAATGCGTTATGCGTCGTCGTTTATCGTTCATAAAAGGGGTCTAGGTTCTCCGAAAATGAACCTGAAAAGGATGTTAAGATCGTTTCATATGTTAGAGAATAAAATACAGCTAATACATTGCTTGATTTGTAGGAGAAAAAGACAGAATTTTTTACGTTGGAGGGAGATCACGAAATTGAAGCGATAACAACTCATCCGATCTACGGCGGCGGCGGCAGCACCGGCGACGAATGCGGCGGCAATAACACCGGCGACGAGGAACGCAGACGGCAGCAGCAACAATGGCGAAGAGAAAAAGAACCCTAAATCGAGAATCTGAATAAGTCTAGGGTTTCAAAAAAACAAAATCAGTCTCAGATTTTTGGTTTCAGTTGAGGCTAACGAATGGCCGGATCCCGATCCTCGACTATTTTCTCGTCCAAAATTTCATATATGGTCATTTTGCTTTTTAATTTTTCCCTAAAATAGTCCTTATGAATTTTTTTACATGGATGGTCCTTTTAGAGCAAACCTTACACGTTATTAGTCATTATGTTGGACGTCGGTCTACATGTGTCATTACCATGCCCCATGTGCCTTGTACACGAGGGCATTTTCATCATTTCATTTGGGGTTTACGTGTAATACTTATTTAATCAATCTCCTCTTTTTTCAAATATGTATACGAAAGCTGAAAAACGAAGCTCAAGAAATCGGAGTCGAGGAATGACGATTTGCCCGTGTGGAAGCAGTGAGTGATCTTAGTCATCGTCAAATGTTCGAAATGAGAGCAAGTGTGGTTGGATTGGGGGGTACGATGAACCCATGTTCCCTAGCAAGTGTGGTTGGATTGGGGGGTACGATGAACCCATGTTCCCTAGATCAATGGAAGTGATGCTTAGGTCTATGAACAAACTCCAACAATCCCTTCAAGAAGCCTACATGCAAGCTATAATGTAATTCACTACTTGAAAAAAGGGTTGAGATGATTGTAGGGTTAATCTCTTTTGTTTTTAGAATGCATGAATGTGTTTTTTTTTGTTATAGATTTGATGTAATGGTTGTCTTATTTTAAGTTTGTTGTGGTGTCTTATGTTTAGTATGTTGTGTCGGTAGTGTTGGTGTTATTGTGTTTTGTCTTATGTTTAGTACAACACGCTCGAAGGTCACGCCATTTTGCATTGATCAAGTCGTGTGTCCGGCTCGTTTTCCTTCCTAATAACGCGTGGAAGTGGTCTAAAACACAATTCCAAAAGCTTTGACCCGTTTGCACGTTGCCGACATCCCCGTCTTGTGATATGAAAATCCAAGCTTTAGCTAAAGTTTCATCCTCCTCCTCAGTCCATTGCGTACTTTTCTTTTTCCTTGGATCTTTTGATTTTTTTTTTTTGCCTTCTACAACTTGGTTGTGTTTCTTCAACTCGTTTGTCGTGGTCGTCATTGTCGAGGTTTATGGGTTGAGATTGAGATAATTGAACTTGAGATGGTTGTGAAGTTTGTTGACGTTGGGAAGTTTGGGGTTGAAATTGCGGAGAAGTTTGTTATTGAATGGCTTGAAATTGAGGTTGAATGAATTGTGGTGGTTGTTGTTATTGGTAGTAGTGTGGGTGATATGGAAGATTGGTGAATAGAGGTTGTTGTTGAATTGGAGATGATATCAATTGCATGTAGCTAAGATTCGTTAACGAATCATTTGGAGTGTTCGGGGTGAGTGAGGTATTTTGGTTTGGATCCATAACAGTATATGATGAAGGAATATTTTTTGGTGAATATGTGTGTTTGTGTTGAAAAAATGTGTGTGTTTGAAATGAAAAAAGAGTGTTATATATAGAGAAGGTGTAGTAATTAAATAATTAATTTCTTTTTTTTAATGCACAAACGGTCACATGGCAACGATCAAAATGGAATAACCAATCAGATCAAGCGTCTTATTCTGACTCCATGAGGACGCTACACTCAACCCACCGGAGGTGGGGGCGGTGTTCACGCGGCTTGGGGGCTGGCACGTCAGCCTCCCACACGTCTTCTCATTACCACTCCGGATAGCCTAAGAGTCACTACTTACTGTTAGGCTAAAGGCCCTTTGGTAATTAATTTTGTATATACCCTTGTTAAACGCCAAAATATCATATTTGACCAACCTTAAATCTAAATATTATATTTACCCTTATTAACTTTCACAATTTCATATTTGTCTAAATCTTTTTTTTTAACATTTAAAAAAAATTAATCAATTTTCATATTTAATAATCATTATAATTTAAAGAAGAAAAAAAAGATTAGATCGATCACATTTTCTGACATAAAATGGGTTGACCATATTGACCCTAATTATCTTAACCGTTTAGCAATATGATAACATCATCTCGTAAGACTTTGTTCCTTAACTTTCTTTTGCGTTAGAATATATAGAAGGAACAACTGGGAGAAGCTTAGGGATGTCGGATTCGAGTGGGTCTTGTGTTTGTGTTCAATCACTACAACCGATGTCATAGAAAACATCGAAACAAATAGACTTGCGGCCACGCGTTAAGTTCTAGCAAACTGATGCCACATTGGTGGCCGGTTTTTCTTCAAAGGACGAGGAGGTTAATGGAGCCTAGTGGGATGATGAAGTTTGTGTTCCATGATGGTTATTAACTCATATTATTTTGATGATGATTTCTGTTTATTGAACAAGTTTAATGGTAGACCGCTTAACAAAAAAATCAATTATACTCGTTCATTAAAGGGTTGTTTGATAGTTGCTAATCGGGTTAGAAGTTCTGACCAAAACTTGTTTGATTTTGTATCTGACTGATAGTGCAAAATGACTATATTACCCTCAGACAACATTTCATATAATAATTCTTGTGTGATTTACCATTTAATTTATAACATTACATTTAATGATGTCAAGGTTATTGGCTTGATATAAAAACATATATCTGATTTTCAATCTTTGAGCTGATATTATAAAAAATTCATCACTGCTAAGTCTTGCAATTATCCCTATGATTTCATTATAATAAAGCTAAGTACACTAACAAAAGCACTTTATGATATTACAAACACGTTGTTTGTAATTATATTCAAAGCATATAAGAATGTGCCAAAAAGTAACAGTGTGTAAGTCCCAAATCTGTTTGTGTATCAATCAGATCCGTTTGATGGTGCGGAATCCCAATCAAACGGATGATGTCGGATCTAATGAAGAAGAAGGAGAAGAAGAAGATGATGAATCTTGTATGATTTGATTAGAATGTAGATTCAAATACAAGATTCACACACAACTTACACACACTTAAGCTCCTCTCTTCTCTCTAACTTTCTCTCTCTACCATATACTCTCACTTTTCATCAACCGCTCCTCACCCACCTAACATCTATTTATATGTATATGGGGAACATGGGCCGTAGATGGGTTCAAGGCCGTGAACAGGTTTACGGCCGTAAACATTCACCTGGCCGTGAACACAGCCGCAAATGTATATTACATTACAGAAAAACCAATTGCCTAGAAAAGCAAAGTATAAACCAATATTTTAGACCCAACAATCTCCCCCTTGGTTTATAGCTTTCTTTTCTAATTGACCCAACAAGCTCCCCCTAAAAAGTAGCTGGCTTTTCTTGTCAATCTTCAGTTTGAGCTTGGCTTCAACATAAACCTTTAAATTCTTCACACCTTCAAGATGAACTTGATGAATCTTCAATGAATGACTTCATCTTGAGCAGTTGGGCTTTTCTTCAAAATTTGACTCTGAACACACATTGGGTGAGGAGGCTTCTTGATAAGATTCTTGAAAAATAGCGCTTTTAGCTTGAGAATCGTCAGAGAGAATATCAGAGAGAACTAATATTATGGATCACTTCAGCAGGTACAAGATAGCAGCAAATTGATTGAGGAGGCTTCAATGCAATTTGTCACATAACCTTCAAGTGCAGCTTCACCTTGCTTCTGGGGTTGAAGGATTGAATGTTGAAAGAATAATCTTCATTTCTTGCTCCTTCGAATGAGAATTCTTCGATGATCACGGATGAAGCCTTGGCTCAGAAATTCTCCGACACAGTCTCCATGAGTCTTATCTACATCTGAATTCACTTTTTAAGACAAAACAAAACTAAAACAAAACTTATCACACAATATTTTTGGATTTTTTTATATTTTCGAAAAAAAAAACAGAAACAAAAATATTTTTGGATTTTTGATTTTTCTGAACAAGAAATAAAACGGAAGTAACACTATTTTTGGATTTTTAATTTTTTGATTTTTGTTTGATTTTTGATTTTTTTATACATATCTGTTCTCTTAGGCCCCGCCTGTCTCCGGGCCTCGCCTGCTACTAACGATACAAGCATATAACATAACACATATAATAAGCTAAGCATACTCTACTGTACTACTGATGTAAGGCCTCGCCTATCTTGGGCCCTGCCCCTGACCTGCTACTGGTGAGCCATGGAACCCCATCCACGCTCCTGCTGACAGTGAGATACGGGCCCTCGCCTACACTCACCTCCCTCCTAACTCGGGCCTCGCCCCTGCTCTGCTACTAATGAGATATGGAACCCCGTCCATACTCGCTTAGTGATGAGATACAGGACCTCGCCCGACTCACCTCCCTACCAGGCACATACAAGTATCACACAGACAACAAGTATAATCTATCATGCAAACCATTCATTGGGCACCCGCCCGACATCGGACCTTGGTCCGAAATATCATACTAGCATACAGTGCCTAGGGCTAACCCCCAGGTCTTCCTACTCATCACTACATGGGCCGACATTGTGGCCGTAGACCCATTCACATAAAGGGAAACTCACCTCGTACTGCGGAAACTGCTGATAACCCTCTGGCTGCTATCCAACAACTCTCCGAACTACTGCTCCTCTAGCTCCCCGAGCTACCAATACTAAATAATAGCACACTTAGCCTAACTGTCCTCAAGAAGTTAACTAAGTCAACTCTGGTCAAAGTCCTTCTCAAGGTCAAAGTCCTGGTCAAAGTCAACCTTCCAGTTGACTCGACTCGTCGAGTTGTTCTGCCAACTCGCCGAGTCCATGCTCCTCAAATCCCAAAACAACCCCGACTCCACTCGTCGAGTCTAGCGAGAACTCGACGAGTTCTCCTTCATCTAACACTTCGGGACTGTCTTCAACCGGCTCGCCGAGTTCATCCTTGAACTCGTCGAGTTCATCATTATCTTATGAATATCTAGGCCATGACTCGCCGAGTTGTATGAACAACTCGTCGAGTTTATCTTCATAACTAAGAAGATTGTCTTGGACTCGCCGAGTCCACCTTGTGACATCTCTATTCTGTCGATTACAGTCCATTCCAACCCCTTCAACCCATAGATCTGGACTTCTAATGCTAGCATTACACGTAAAGTTGCTAACTTTACGTGCATGCAAGGTGCTATGAAGCTAAAACTCTTAATCCAAACTAAAATGAAGGTCTAGGTCATGAAATGAAGCCATGGCTGGGTAAAGATGCTCCCTCAGAGCTTCTAAAGCTCAGAAATGCTTAGATCTTAAGTCCTTTTCGTCCTCAATGGCTCAATGTTCGGATTGACCTTGGAAATGGACCAAATGTGACAAAATCTATGCTAGAGAGGGGATCTAGATGGTTAACAGTCAAGGTATAAGCTTTTTACCTCTAAATGGTCTGAAATGCTACCCCAACTCTGGATCTATAGCTTCTTCTTGCACCACCAAGGTCCTTCTCCCTTCTCCAAGCTTCATTTCACTCTCAAGGCAAGAACTAGCTCAACAATGGAGTTGGGT